AGCTGATTTTTGTATTTTTAGTAGAGATGGGGTTTCACCATGTTGCCCAGGCTGGTCTTGAACTCCTGAGCTCAAGTGATCCGCCCCTCTTGGCCTCCCAAAGTGCTGAGATTACAGGCTTGAGCCACTGTGCCTGGTGAACCTATGTCTTGGTTTTTTTTGGAGATGGAGTCTTGCACTGTTGCTGGGGATGGAGTACAGTGGTGTGATCATGGCTAACTGCAACATCCACCTCCTGGGTTCAAGGATTCTCCTGCCTCAGCCAGTAGCTGGGATTATGAATGCCAGTCATCACACTTGGCTGATTTTTTTGTATTTTTAGTAGAGATGGGGTTTCACTACTTTGGCCAGGCTGGTGTCAAACTCCTGACCTCGTGATCTGCCTGCCTTGGCCTTCCAAAGTGGTGGTATTATAGGTGTGAGTCACCATGCCCAGCCTACAAGTGGTAGCTTTTTTGAGGGGGGAGGGGAATGGGGTTAGAGTCTTACTGGTGAACACTGGAAAACCACCTGCTAGACAAATTCTAAAAGAGCTGTAACACCAAGTGGTAGCTTTTTAAAAGTTTAGTTGTAGCCGGGCGCGGTGGCTCAAGCCTGTAATCCCAGCACTTTGGGAGGCCGAGGCGGGTGGATCATGAGGTCAAGAGATTGAGACCATCCTGGTCAACATGGTGAAACCCCGTCTCTACTAAAAATACAAAAAATTAGCTGCGCATGGTGGCACGTGCCTGTAATCCCAGCTACTCAGGAGGCTGAGGCAGGAGAATTGCCTAAACCCAGGAGGCGTAGGTTGCGGTGAGCCGAGATCGTGCCATTGCACTCCAGCCTGAGTAACAAGAGCGAAACTCCGTCTCAAAAAAAAAAAAAAAAAAAAAGTCTAGTTGCAGTGTGGAATCTGAAATCATATCAGTGAATTTTTCTTGTACTTGTTACGAAAAAAGAATTTATTGATTCTCTTGTTCTTTGAAAGAATCTTGATCCACGAGAATTGGGAAGCTGTCAAAGCTCATTGGTAATAGAAGTTTCTGAAAATACTAGTTTTTACTGAAAAGCTCAAATTTAGTCACTTGGCAACAAATACTTCGGGAAAATAGTTATACCTGAAGTGACAGACTCATTTTATTCCTTTTTTGAGAAAATAACTGCCCAGATACTCAAGCTTTTAAGTAACTACATTTTGCCTATGTGTAGTTACTTCAGGTAGAGATGGTGCTTGACTGGTTGTCTTGCAACTCAAATAACTGCACAGTGCTTTTTGTTCAGATAGCCAGTATAGGTAGCAGAAGTGCTTTATGCATACTTCCCTTTCTTTATACACATAGTAAAAGGATGTATACTCAAGGGTTGAGATTAGGACTTTTTAAAAAGGTTGGCATAATTCTTCACTGCAAGTACCAGAGAAGAATACCGTGACTGCTAGTACAGTTCAGTGCCACTGTGTTGCTTCATGCTAAGGACCAGAAGCTTTACTCATCATTGATTTTATTCTATCAGTGCAAATACAACACAGCAGAAAAGGCAAATAACATCTTAGTGTTATTAGGAAGATAGTCTTAACTTGTTGAGCCTCCTGAAAGTGTGTCAGGGGTTCATTATACCGTACTTTGAGAATGGTTGTTCCACTCTGATGTGTGGTTTAAAACTGGATCAGGTGGCTGGGTGTGATGGCTTGTGCCTGTAATCCCAGGACTTTGGGAGGCTCAGGTCAGTGGGTCACTGGAGGCCAGGAGTTCGAGACCAGCCTGGCCAACATAGTGCAACCCCATCTCTACTAAAAATACAAGAAATGAGCCGGGTGTTGTTGTGCATGCCTGTGGTCCCAGCTACTCAGGAGGCTGAGGCACAAGAATCTCTTGGGCCTGGGAGGTGGAGGTTGCAGTGACCCGGTGCCACTGCACTCCAGCCAGGGTGACACAGTGAGATTCCCTACCCACCCCCACCACCCCACCAAAAAAAGGAAAAAAAATGAGATCAGGTATTCTTTGTGAATATGTATTTACATCATAGCAAGAGCAAGTGAGGATTTTATGCAATTCCATGGCATGTATTAGCCTCAGTAGGGAAGTCAGTTTGAAAAAAAAAAAAAAAAGCTAATAAATAAACAGATATAGGAAGAAGAGAAGCAAATGAAAAAATACCAGAAATTCTAAACAAAAAGATAAAAATCTAGGTGTATGAAAGATAAAATATTGCCAGGTCTGATGTATCACACTTAAAATCCCAGTTCTTTGGGAAACTGCAGCCTAGAGGATTGTTTGAGCCCAGGAATTCAAGACCAGCCTGGGTAGCCAGGTGCAGTGGCTCATGCCTGTAATTCCTGCACTTTGGGAGGCCAAGGCAGGCAGATCACTTGAGGTCAAGAGTTCAAGACCAGCCTGGCCAACATGATGAAACTCCATGTCTACTAAAAACACAAAACAATTAGCTGGGTGTGGTGGTGTGTGCCTGTGAACCCAGCTACTCAGGAGAGTGAGGCACGAGATCATTTGAACCGGGAGGGGGAGGCTGCATTGAGGCGAGATCAGGCCACTGCATTCCAGCCTGGGCGATAGAACAAAACTCCGCCTCAAGAAAAAACAACAAAAAAAGACCAGCCTGGGCAACATAGTAAGATCCCATCTCTACAACAAAATTAAAAATTAGCCAAGTGGCCGGGCGCAGTGGCTCAAGCTTGTAATCCCAGCACTTTGGGAGGCCGAGGCGGGTGGATCACGAGGTCGAGAGATCAAGACCATCCTGGTCAACATGGTGAAACCCCGTCTTTACTAAAAATACAAAAACTTAGCTGGGCATGGTGGCACGTTCCTGTAATCCCAGCTACTCAGGAGGCTGAGGCAGGAGAATTGCCTGAACCCAGGAGGCGGAGGTTGCGGTGAGCCGAGATCGCGCCATTGCACTCCAGCCTGGGTAACAAGAGTGAAACTCCGTCTCAAAAAAAAAAAAAAAAAAAAAAAATTAGCCAAGTGTGATGGTGCATACCTGTAGTGCCAGCTACTTGGGAGGCTGAGGTGGGAGGATTGCTTGAGCCTGGTGAGCTGCAGTGAGCTGTGATTGTGCCATTACCTGCCACCCTGGGTGATAGAGTGAGATTGTCTCTAAAATGTATTTTTAAAAAGATAAAATATTTAGGACAAATAGTTAATGACTGCTGAAAACAACTACACATGAGCAAGATGAAATGAATTTGGACATTGGGGCATCTATGCTTAGGTTCCTCAAACCGAAGTGAACTTCACATGTTGACACCAGCTCACGCCTAAGGAAATGAACAGCATTTGTTTTCTTCTTTGATTCCTCAAACTTTAACAAAATCTAATTAGGGTTTCAGGACCCCACCAACATTTCTTTTGATGGTCTATGTTTTGAGGCTGAAACCTTGTGGTTACTAATTATATTTTTAAGGATGACCAAATGGAGAGTCCAGCCTCTGACATATTTCAGAAAGCTTTCCTTGGCCTGGGTAAATGTTAAATGTAGAAAATAACTAGCTGGCTTTTATCACTGGATAGGTTTTTGTCTTTTTTTATTTTTATTTTTATTTTTATTTTTTGAGACGGAGTTTCGCTCTTGTTACCCAGGCTGGAGTGCAATGGCGCGATCTCGGCTCACGGCAACCTCTGCCTCCCGGGTTCAGGCAATTATCTTGCCTCAGCCTCCTGACTAGCTGGGATTACAGGCACGTGCCACCATGCCCAGCTGATTTTTTGTATTTTTAGTAGAGACGGGGTTTCACCATGTTGACCAGGATGGTCTCGATCTCTTGACCTCGTGATCCACCCGCCTCGGCCTCCCAAAGTGCTGGGATTACAGGCGTGAGCCACCATGCCCGGCCCTTATTTTTATTTTTGAGACAGAATCTTGCTCTGTCACTCAGGCTGGAGAGCAGTGTTGTGACCATGGCTCACTGAAGCCTTGAACTCCTGGACTCAAGGAATCCTCCCACTGCAGCCTCCTGGGTAGCCGAGACTACAGGCATGTACCACTATGCCTGGCTGATTTTTAAATTCTATTTGTAGAAATAGTATCTCACTGTTTGGCCCAGGCTGATTTCAAACCCTGAGCTTAGGTGGGTCTGCCTGCCAAATCCCAGCCTCCCCAAGTGCTGAGATTGCTGGCTTGAGTCCCTATCCCCAGCCTGTTTGGTCTCTTTTAATCTGGGACAGTTCCTCTGTCTTCATTTGTTTTTTTGTTTTTGTTTTTCGAGACAGAGTCTTGCTCTGTCACCTAGGCTGGAGTACAGTGGTGCAGTCTTGGCTCATTGCAACCCCTGCACCCAGGATCAAGCAATTCCCACTCCTCAGCCTCCCGAGTAGCTGAGATTACAGGCACACACACTGTGGCGGTTAATATTTTTGTATTTTTAGTAGAGATGGGGTTTCACCATGTTGGCCAGGCTGGTCTTGAACTCGTGTCATCAAGTATTTTACCCGCTTTGGCCTCCCAGAGTGCTGGAATTACAGGCATGAGCCACCTGTAATCCTTAATTTGTTTTTTGTTTTTGTTTGAGATGGAGTCTTACTCTGCTACCCAGACTGGAGTGCAGTGGTGCTGTCTCAGCTCATTGTAACCTCTGCCTCCTGGGTTCAACAAATTCTGCCTCAGGTTCCCAAGTAACTGGGACTACTGGCACGCGCCACCACATCTAGCTAATTTTTGTATTTTTAGTAGAGATAGGGTTTCACCATGTGGCCAGGATGGTCTCGATCTCTTGACTTTGTGATTCACTCACCTCGGCCTCTCAAAGTGCTGGGATTATAGGCGTGAGCCACTGCATCCAGACGCTTTATTTGTTTTTAATGACTTCCCTGCTGTTGAGGAGGATAGGCTTGTGGAATGCCCCTCAATGTGAGTTGGATTTGTCTGATGTCTCCCATGGTTAATATCAGGTGAGACTTTCTGTGAGTGTGTGAGAGAGAGAGAGAGTGTGTGTGTGTGTGTGTGTGTGTGTGTGAGAGAGAGAGAGAGAGAGAGAGAGATGGAGTCTCGCTCTGTTGCCCAGGCTCGAGTGTAGGGGCCTGATCTCAGCTCACTGCAACCTCTGCATCCCGGGTTCAAGTGTGATTCTTCTGTCTCAGCCTCCCAGCCTCCCAAGTAGCTGAGATTATAGGAGCCCGCCATCACGCCTGACTAATTTTTTGTATTTTTAGTAGCTATGAGGTTTCACCATGTTGGCCAGGCTGGTCTTCAACTCCTGACCTCAAGTGATCTGCCTTTCTCAGCCTCCCAGAGCACTGTGATTACAGGCACGACCCACCGTGCTAGGCACCAGGTGAGGCATTTTGGATGGAATTCCTCAGAAGTGATAATGCTTTCACTGTGTCTCATCTGCAGGCACCTGGTGTTTGTTGACTTTTGTTTCAGTAGTGATGGTAACTTTGACCAGTTGGTTAAGGTATTGACTGCCATGCTTCTTCAGGGTGAAATTACTTTGGTTTTCCTTTGTAATAAGAACCTTGTGGGGAGATACTTTGAGACAGTGTAAAAATTCTGTCCCTCATTATACTTCAACTAATTTTAGCACCCATTGATGATTCTTGTCAGCAACTCTTTTTTTTTTTTTTTGAGACGGAGTTTCGCTCTTGTTACCCAGGCTGGAGTGCAATGGCGCGATCTCGGCTCACCGCAACCTCCGCCTCCTGGGTTCAGGCAATTCTCCTGCCTCAGCCTCCTGAGTAGCTGGGATTATAGGCACGCACCACCATGCCCAGCTAATTTTTTGTATTTTTAGTAGAGACGGGGTTTCACCATGTTGACCAGGATGGTCTCGATCTCTCGACCTCGTGATCCACCCGCCTCGGCCTCCCAAAGTGCTGGAATTACAGGCTTGAGCCACCGCGCCCGGCCTTGTCAGCAACTCTTATTGCTACTATAGTGGCTGTCAAATGGTGGCTTTCTACTTCGGTTTATTTTTTCTACATTTATTATTTGTGTTTTATTGTTTTTGAGACAGAGTCTTGCTCTGTCGCACAGGTGGCAGTGCAGTGGTGCCATCTCAGCTCACTGCCACCTCTGTCTCCTGTGCTCAAGTGATTCTCCTGCTTCCTGAAGAGCTGGGATTACAGGTGCCTGCTGCTATGCCTGGCTAACTTTTTGTATTTTTACAGAGATGAGGTTTTGCCGTGTTAGCCAGGGTGGTCTTGAACTCCTGACCTCAGGTAATTCTCCCACCTCAGCCTCCCAAAGAGCTAGGATTTACAGGGGTGAGCCACTATGCTGGGCATCTACACTTTTTATTATTTGGAATAAACTGTCTCCCCACTTTACTTTGTTGATCTTAATATAGACTAATGGATTCTTTCTTATTGCATAGATTATAACATGTTACAGTCATTATTTTATTGCTTAGACTGTGGAAGTGAGGTTTTTAAAGTTTATTAACATGGTGGTGGTATTCTGAAGGCAGTGATTCAGCACAGATGGAAAGATTATTATGATCATCTAATTTCCAAATATTAGATGAAGTCTTTGCTTATGCTTCATTTAATTTGTTTTTCTTTTACTTTTTTTTTTTTTTTTTTTGAGACAGAGTTTAGCTCTTGTTACCCAGGCTGGAGTGCAATGGCGCGATCTCAGCTCACCGCAACCTCCGCCTCCTGGGTTCAGGCAATTCTCCTGCCTCAGCCTCCTGAGTAGCTGGGATTACAGACACGCACCACCATGCCCAGCTAATTTTTTGTATTTTTAGTGGAGATGTGGTTTCACCATGTTGACCAGGATGGTCTCGATCTCTTGACCTCGTGATCCACCCGCCTCGGCCTCCCAAAGTGCTGGGATTACAGGTGTGAGCCACCGTGCCCGGCCCTTTTAATTTGTTTTGTGCTTCATTTTAGATGAGCAGCTTTGTACTTATTACAGACTTATCTACCTAAATGTACTAAGTCTAATACTTTTCTGGGGATATCTTAAAACTAGTGAAAATAAGATCATTATTCATATTCATGATGCATTGTCTTAAATTCAGATACTGCCGTCTGTACTTAAACATAACTATCATATGTTGTATATGTCACTTAGGGTAATTGTTAATCACCTGCAAGTTATTTTTTTCTATACTAGTCTAACTTTAGCTCACGATCATGCATTTTCCCCCAATCTATTGCATTTCGATGCACTGTCTATAACAATAATATTGGTAAAGCATTGTTATACACTTCTTCAATGTTCCTATTTATTCTTAGGTCTCTTGATGAATAATGTACATACCAAAACAAATCTAATGCAATCCTAAGGTATTTTCTTGAGTTATACAGTATGTATACAAAACATCCACAGGAACTAAGTAAAAGTAGTTTTTTTCTAAATTAATTAAGAAGCTTGGAAGATTTTAGAAAAATAGTGCACATGGCAAAATTTAAATGATAATTCATTTTTCTCCTTCCTCAGATGCAACCACTGTGCAGTTTATGATGTTCCTTTGGGAGACATTTATATGTATATGTGAACATCTATGAATGTATGCTTTTTAGGAAAAATACGACTTAGCACCACACCTTACTATTTTCTTTTATTTATTGTTGTTTTTTAGAGACAGGGTCTTAGTCTGTCTCCCAGGCTGGAATGTAGTGGTGTGGTCATAGCTCAGTGCAGCCTCTAAATCCTGGGTTGAAGTGATCCTTTCACTTCAGTCTCCTGAGGAGCTGAGACCACACCTGGTTAATTGTTTTCTTTTTTAATTGTTTAGTAGAGATGGAAACTCTGTTGCTCAGACTGGTCTCCCAACTCCTGGCTTCAAATGATCCTCTTGCTTTGGCCTCTCAGATTGCTAGGATTACAGGCATGAGCCACTGAACCCAACTACCTCACTGTTTTAAAAAGCAATTTATTTATTTATTTCAGACAGAGTCTTGTTCTGTTGCCCAGGCTGGAGTGCAGTACAGTCTGACTCACTGCAACCTCTGCCTTGCAGGTTCAAGCTATTTTCATGCCTCAGACTCCCAAGTAGCTGGAATTACCAGTACCCACCACCATGCTGAGCTAATTTTGTGTTTTTAGTGGAGATGGGGTTTCACCATGTTGGTCAAGCTGTTCTGGAAATCCTGACCTCAAGTGATTCCCTACCTTGGCCTCCCAAAATGCTGAGATTATAGGCATGAGCCACTGCGCCTAGCCCAGAAAATCTTGTATATTTTATTTTTAATTTTGCTTATTATTATTATTATTATTGAGATGGAGTCTCACTCTGTAGCCCAGGCTGGAGTACAGTGGTAGGATCTCAGCTCCCTGCAATCTCTGCCTTCTGGGTTCAAGAGATTCTCCTGCCTTAGCCTCCCAAGTAGTTGGGATTACAGGTGTGTGCCACCACACCCCGCTAATTTTTGTATTTTAGCAGGGACGGGGTTCCACCGTGTTCGTCTTGATCTCTTGACCTTGTGATCTGCCCGCCTTGGCTTCCCAAAGTGCTGGGATTACAGGTGTGAGCCACCGTGCTCAGCCCAAGTTTTGTGTTTTTAGTAGAGATGGTGTTCCAAAATGTTGGCCAGGCTGGTCAACATGATGAAACTCTGTCTGTACTAAAAAATACAAAAATTAGGGCCAGGCGCGGTGGCTCACGCCTGTAATCCCAACACTTTGGGAGACCGAGGCGGGTGGATCACGAGGTCAAGAGATCAAGACCATCCTGGTCAACATGGTGAAACCCCGTCTCTACTAAAAATACAAAAAAATTAGCTGGGCATGGTGGTGCATGCTTGAAATCCCAGCTACTCAGGAGGTTGAGGCAGGAGAATTGCCTGAACCCAGGAGGTGGAGGTTGCAGTGAGCCGAGATCGCGCCGTTGCACTCCAGCCTGGGTAACGAGAGCGAAACTCCGTCTCAAAAAAAAAAAATACAAAAATTAGCCAGCCATGGGGGGTGGCACACACCTGTATTCCCAGCTACTCAGGAGGCTAAGGCAGGAGAATTGCTTGAACCCAGGAGGTACAAGTTGCAATGAGCCGAGATTGTGCCACTGCACTCCAGCCTGGGTGACAGAGCAAAACTGTCTTAAAAAAAAAAAAAAAAAAAAAATTACTGTTTAAATATGTAGATCTGATTAATAACATTTTACTTTTGGTTATGGACGATTGGTGTTTCAGTATTTAACTTTTTCAAAGTAAGTTTTTAATTTAATGACAGTATACTTTAAAATATTAAAGTTTCGGGCCGGGCACGGTGGCTCAAGCCTGTAATCCCAGCACTTTGGGAGGCCGAGGTGGGTGGATCACAAGATCGAGACCATCCTGGTCAACATGGTGAAACCCCGTCTCTACTAAAAATACAAAAAATTAGCTGAGCATGGTGGTGTGTGCCTGTAATCCCAGCTACTCAGGAGGCTGAGGCAGGAGAATTGCCTGAACCCAGGAGGCGGAGGTTGCGGTGAGCCGAGATCGCGCCATTGCACTCCAGCCTGGGTAACAAGAGTGAAACTCTGCCTCAAAAAAAAAAAAAAAAAAAAAAAGTTTCACTAAACTGCTTTCAAATGATTTGACTAAACCTAAAATTCTAGTTACCTGGCTTTATGGTACATTTTAATTTGGTTTACATACTGCCACCATAAATCTCTGAATTTATCAAAGGACTAGATGGACATTTTAGTAAAATAACATCTAAAACGAATGTTGATAACTTAAAATTGAAACTATAACTTCTTAAAATCTGGAGATTGGTCTCAGCCATGTCTAATACGTTATTTCTTGTTATTTTAAAAATTAAGAAAACAGGCCAGGCTTCGTGGCTCAAGCCTGTAATCCCAGCCGTTTCAGAGGCCAAGGTGGGCAGATCACCTGAGGTCAGGAGTTGGAGACCAGCTTGACCAACATGGCGAAAGCCTGTCTCTACTGAAATGTAAAAATTAGCTAGGCGTGGTACTGTGCACCTGTAATCCCAAGCTACTCAGGAGGCTGAAGCAGAATAATTGTTTGAACCTGGGAGATGGTAGTTGCAGTGAGCCAAGATCAGGCTCCCACACTCCAGCCTGGGTGACAGAGCAAGACTCTATTTAAAAAAAAACAAACCCAGGCCAGGCGCAGTGACTCAAGCCTGTAATCCCAGCACTTTGGGAGGCCGAGGCGGGTGGATCACGAGGTCGAGAGATTGAGACCATCCTGGTCAACATGGTGAAACCCCGTCTCTACTAAAAATACAAAAAACTAGCTGGGCATGGGGGCGTGTGCCTGTAATCCCAGCTACTCAGGAGGCTGAGGCAGGAGAATTGCCTGAACCCAGGAGAATTGCGGTGAGCCGAGATCGCGCCATTGCACTCCAGCCTGGGTAACAAGAGCGAAACTCTGTCTCAAAAAAAAAAAAAAAAGGAATGTTGCTCTGTATTATTGACCTTGCATAAAACATAAGGTGACATTAATCCATACACAACTGATAATAGATCTGCCTTAAGGGATTACATTTTAACGTTCAAGTTGATGTTTGCCATTTCACTTCTGTTGCTTATTTGTAGTTTCATTTTCTTTCAGCTTATATTTTGGGCCCTGACAGTGACAACCATTATGCCCAGGTGCTAGGGAGTTAGAAAAGCATTAACTATGCCAGGGGAGGTGGCTCATACCTGTAATCCCAGCGCTTTGGGAGTCTGAGGTGGGTGGATCATGAGGTCAGGAGCTCAAGACTCAGCCTGGCCAAGATAGTGAAACCCTGTCTACTAAAAATACAGAAATTAGCTGGGCATGGTGGTGGGTGTCTGTAATCCCAGCTACTTGGGAGAGTGAGGCAAAGAACTGCTTGAAGGCAGGAGGCAAAGGTTGCATTGAGCTGAGATCGAGCCACTGCACTCCAGCCTGAGTGAGAGAGCTGAGACTCCATCTCAAAAAAAACCCAGAAACAGAAAAAGCATTAACTTCAGTTTTAAAAGAGGAAAGTCAACATTTTATAGTAATCTTATTCAATTTAAAAACAGATTTATGTGAATGATACAGTATAATATTTTTAACTGTCATAATTGGCATTAACTTTAAATGCTTAGCTGGACTGAGTTTTCACATTCTGATGAGGTACTTTGCAATTTCTGGAAGAGGTTGGAGCAGTTAAGGTTCTGTGAGTATTTTTCTTTTTTTCTAAATCTAGAGAATTTTGACATATGTGTCTTTATTTTTTATAGAGGTGTGGTCTCACCATATTGCCCAGGCTGGTCTTAAACTCCTGGCCTCAAGTGATCCTCCCACCTTAAGATGTGTGTCTTGTTAGAAGTAAACCATATCTGGTGGTTTTGTTGCTATTTATTCAGTCTCAAAACTGCCATGACTCTTTTACAGGCTCTTGAAATGGTAGACCAAAAAATACTTTCAGTTTATTATTTCCTATTCTTGTCTGCTTGTAGGATTCTGCAACTAATTTTTAAGTTACGTATTTTCTTTTTTTTGAGACAGAGTGTCGCTCTTGTTACCCAGGCTGGAGTGCAATGGCATGATCTCGGCTCACCGCAACCTCCGCCTCCTGGGTTCAAGCAATTCTCCTGCCTCAGCCTCCTGAGTAGCTGGGACTACAGGCACGCGCCACCATGCCCAGCTAATTTTTTGTATTTTTAGTAGAGACGGGGTTTCACCACGTTGACCAGGATGGTCTCGATCTCTTGACCTCGCGATCCACCCGCCTCGGCCTCCCAAAGTGCTGGGATTACAGGCTTGAGCCACCGCGCCCGGCAAGTTACGTATTTTCTATATTTAAAGCCTACCCTAGTCCCAGCATACCTAAAGTTGTAAACATAGGGTTAAATAACTATTTAAATGATGTCTGATAGATAAATCTATAGAGAAGGGATTCAGAATCCCAAATGCTTGTAACTGATGCTGTATTCTTGTGTTCAAGGTTTAATCGTCAGTAGAGTAGGCTTAAATTTGTGTATGTATATGTTTTAGGACCTCTTAGAAAAAAGCTAAAACTTTGTCTTAGGTCCTTCTCTAGCCCTAGTAGAGCCTGTGTAAAAATAAATATGACCTGATATGTGGACAGATGGCTGGTGGTTAGGCGTGTGTTCGAGTCCTGGTGTGCCACTCCCCCAATGGACAGTCTGTCTGGATCCCTTATGTTTGCACTTGTTTCTACTAGTCTGTCTTCAGGCAGTTATTAAAGTGCTTGGCTGTTTAACACATTCTTAAAGCTTATGCATTTCCAAAACACTGATTGCAACATTTTTACAAGGTGTTAAGGCCCATCCCACTAAAGTGTAATACCCTATACAGATTGCTGATAACAGATTTATAAAGCTTTGTTTTGAGACAGAGTCTCTCTCTGTTGACCAGACTGGAGTGCAATAGCACAGTCTCGACTCACTGCAACCTCTGCCTCCTGGGTTGAAGCAATTCAGTCTCAGCCTCCTTAGTAACTGGGATTAAGGGTGCATGCCACCGTGCCTGGCTACTTTTTTTAGTAGAGACGGAGCTTCACCATATTGGCCAGGCTAGTCTCGAACTCCTGACCTCAAGTGATTCACCTGTCTTGGCCTCCCAGAGCGCTGAGATTACAGGTGTAAGCAACTACGCTGGACGACGAATTGTAAAGCTTTCCAAAAAGCTAGGAGGTTTGGCAGAGAGGAAAGGGCCATTTTAAATGTTGGTGGTTCTGTATAGAGAAAGCCCGAGAGCAGCTAGATGTGCTCTGGGTACTCTTGAGCATGGGTATTATGCGAAGGTGAGAGCTGTTTGTTTCTGTTTTTGGTGATTGGTGTCCCCACCCACCCAAGTTTCTTTGCTTATGTTAAACATGTTGACCAATTATATCAACATTGGAAAGGAGACCAAGAGTGTCTTCCTTTGAGAGACTTGTATCCTCTACAAGATTGGTTGGTTATATGTTAAATTTATAGGTATAATGTGTGTTCTGTAATCACATTGATTATAAGCATGATATCACACCCTACATTATCATTATAGCGGACAGAGTTTAAATATGCCACTTTTTATTTTATTTTGAGGCAAGGGTCTCTGTTATAGGGCTGGAATGCAGTGGCATTATCATAGCCACTGCAGCCTCAAACTCCTGGGATCAATGGATTCTCTTGCTTCAGCTTCTTGAGTAGCTGGGACCACAGGTACATGCCACTGCGCCTGGCTAATTTTTAAAATTTTTGTAGAGATGGAGTCCCACTTTGTTGCCCAGGCTGGTTTTTAGCTCCTGGGTTGAAGTGATTCTACTTTGGCCTCCCAAAGTGTTAGGATTATAGGCATGAGCCACCTTGCCTGGCCTGAACATGTCATTTTTAAATTGAAATTGAAAAATACGTAACATTTTAACAACTATAATGGTGGAAAGTAGAATACTTGAGTTAGCATTTCAGTCTTAGGAGTTTATTAAGTAGATTTTACCATTATTGCTACTGGAAATCTGTCATCTTTTCTTAGGATGTAAGTTAACTGGAAGTGCGACATAGTTTATGAAGTTTTAAAGGACCACAACTAAGGTTATTATAACTAAATTTAATTTAATTTTTTTTCTCTGTCACTCAGGCTTGAGTGCAGTGGCATGATCTTGGCTCACTGCAACCTCCACCTCCCAGGTTCAAGTAATTATTCTGCCTCAGCCTCTCAAGTAGCTGAGACTACAGGCAAGTGCCACCATGCTCAGCTAATTTTTTGTATTTTTAGTAGAGATGGGGTTTCACTGTGTTAGCCTGGATGGTCTAGGTCTCCTAACCTCATGATCTGCCTGCCTAGGCCTCCCGAAGTGCTGAGATCACAGGCGTGAAACACCACACTGGCCTATTTAACTACATTTTAAAAGATTATTTTGTCAGCCTAACAACCATTATAAGCATGTGGGGTCCTTGAAATGACTTTGCAGTAGAAAGGACTTTTAATTTTTTTTTTTTTTTTTTTTTTGAGACGGAGTTTCGCTCTTGTTACCCAGGCTGGAGTGCAATGGCGCGATCTCGGCTCACCGCAGCCTCCGCCTCCCGGGTTCAGACAATTCTCCTGCCTCAGCCTCCCGAGTAGCTGGGATTACAGGCACGTGCCACCATGCCCAGCTAATTTTTTGTATTTTTAGTAGAGACGGGGTTTCACCATGTTGACCAGGATGGTCTCGATCTCTCGACCTCGTGATCCACCCGCCTCGGCCTCCCAAAGTGCTGGGATTACAAGCTTGAGCCACCGCGCCCGGCCTTTTTTTTTTTTTTTTTTTAAATGAGATGGAGTTTTGCTCTTGTTGCCCAGGCTGGAGTGCAGTGGCATGATCTCTACTCACTGTAACCTCTGTCTCCTGGGTTCAAGCAATTCTTTTGCCTCAGCCTCCATAGTAGCTGGGACTACAGGTGTCCGCCAGCGTGCCTGGCTAATTTTTGTATTTTCAGTAGAGATGGGGTTTCAATATGTTGGGCAGTCTGGTCTCGAACGTTTGATGTCAGGTGATATGCCTGCCTTGGCCTCTCTAAGTGCTGGGATTACAGGCATGAGCTACTGTGCCCGGCTCCCACCCCCACAATTTTCTTTTTCTTTTTTTTTTTTTTTTGAGACGGAGTTTCGCTCTTGTTACCCAGGCTGGAGTGCAATGGCGCGATCTTGGCTGACTGCAACCTCCACTTCCTGGGTTCAGGAAATTCTCCTGCCTCAGCCTCCTGAGTAGCTGGGATTACAGGCACGCGTCGCCATGCCCAGCTAATTTTTTTGTATTTTTAGTAGAGACGGGGTTTGACCATGTTGACCAGGATGGTCTCGATCTCTTGACCTCGTGATCCACCCCCCTCGGCCTCCCAAAGTGCTGGGATTACAGGCTTGAGCCACCGTGCCCGGCTCAATTTTTTTTTTTTTTTTTTAATAGAGTGGTGGTCTTGCTATGTTGCCCAGGCTGGTCGAAGGGAACTTCTTGAAACATCATATGCATTGGATCTTTTATTGTCAGTTAGTGCAGTTATTTGCCTCACTCATCTTAGATGGTGGTTGAGGTTGTATGTATGCCTTGAAATGATCTATGCTGATTGTGACCTCCTCAAGTCTCCTTTATAAAATTTGAATGTGGCCCAGCATGGTGACTTGGTGGCTCAAGCCTGTAATTCCAGCACTTTGGGAAGGCCAAGGCAGGTGGATTACTTAAGCTCAGGAGTTTGAGACGAGCCTGGCCAACATGGAGAAACCTTATCTTTATGAAAAATACAATTGGCCAGGCATGGTGCCAGGTGCCTGTAATCTCAGCTGCTTGGGAGACTGAGACAGGAGAATAACTTGAACCTGGGAGGTGGAGGTTGCAGTGAGCTGAGATTTTGGTACTGCACTTCAGCCTGGGTGACAGAGCCATATTCTGTCTCAAAAAAATTAAAATTTGAAAGTGAGTTTGATAATTTCTAGTGTTTCCTCTAGGAGATTGGGATTCATGTTATTGTATTGAATAATTTTCCTGAATATCCGTGTAAGTGAGTTTTTTTTTTTTTTTTTTTGAGACGGAGTTTCGCTCTTGTTACCCAGGCTGGAGTGCAACGGCGTGATCTCGGCTCACCGCAACCTCCTCCTCCTGGGTTCAGGCAATTCTCCTGCCTCAGCCTCCTGAGTAGCTGCGATTACAGGCACGTGCCACCATGCCCAGCTAATTTTTTGTATTTTTAGTAGAGACGGGGTTTCATCATGTTGACCAGGATGGTCTCGATCTCTTGACCTCGTGATCCACCCTCCTCGGCCTCCCAAAGTGCTGGGATTACAGGCTTGAGCCACCGCGCGCAGCCCTGCCACTATCTTCTACTTGAAGTTGTACTATAGTCATTGCAGCAAAATGAATCCAAATGTACTCTCCTAGGCAAAGGAAGGAGATTTAACAATGTCTAATGCCACAATCTTAGAAAATTCTAGTTTTTTTTGCAGTATAGGTAATGCTAATGGCATCTTAGGTTATATGTATGAAAAGTGTTTAGTTTAATTATTTTTTTTCAAAACAGAGTCTTACTGTCACCCAGGCTAGAATGCAGTGGTGCCATTTCTGCTCACTGCAACCTCTGTCTCCCAGGTTCAAGCAATTCACTTGCCTCAGCCTCCCAAGTAGTAGGGATTACAGGCATGTTCCACGCCAGCTAATGTTTGTATTTTTAGTAGAGATGGGGTTTCACCATGTTGGCCAGGCTGGTCTTGAACTCCTGACCTTGTGACTCGCCCACCTTGGGCTCCCCAGGTGCTAGGATTACAGGGGTGAGCCACCACGCCCAGCTGTGAAAAATATTTAACATCTCTCTACTACTAGATAGTCAAGTCAAGTTAAATCATATTTTTCTTTTAAAACTTAATTCCTGGCGGGGCGCGGTGGCTCACTCCTGTAATCCCAGCACTTTGGGTGGCCGAGTCGGGTGGATCACGAGGTCAAGAGGTCGAGACCATCCTGGTCAACATGGTGAAACCCCGTCTCTACTAAAAATACAAAAATTAGCTGGGCATGGTGGCGCGTGTCTGTAATCCCAGCTACTCAGGAGGCTGAGGCAGCGGAATTGCCTGAACCCAGGAGGCGGAGGTTGCGGTGAGCCGAGATCGCGCCATTGCACTCCAGCCTGGGTAACAAGAGCGAAACTCCGTCTCAAAAACAAAAACAAAAACAAAAAAACTTTCTTCCTCCTGGTACTAATAAGCCCAGAGTTTGATTTTAATGGAACTTAACATTTGTGTAGATTGTGACTTCTGGTGTTAAGAGAGGAGGGAAAAACAGTGGAAAGTACAGCTGAGATAACGGTAAAATAAATCCTCCTCTCCTGATCACCTAGCTTCAAGAGTCACCAAATATTGACTGGCTTTGGTTCATCTCTCTGCCTCAGTGCCATACCTCCCTAAATTATTCCAAAAGAAATTGAAGATGCTAAGCATATGACATTCCTAAATTCTTCAGCATGTGTTTCTAAAAGACAGACTTTTAAAAAACATAGACGATATCATTATTACATGTTAAAAACATGATACTCACTGATACTAAATATTCCAGTTTTTCCTGATTATTTAATTTTTTTCATTTTATTTGAATTGCGATTTAAAGAAGTTTATTACGTTATGATTGGTTGATAGGTCTTAAGTTTGTTTTTCTTTATGTCAAGAATTCCCCTCTTCTTTTTCTCCTTTTAAATTTATTTGTTAAAAAGCTCAGATGTAGGCCGGGCATGGTGACTCATGCCTGTAATCCAACCACCTTGGGAGTCCAAGACAGGTGAATCACTTGAGGTCAGGAATTCGAGACCAGCCTGGCCAACATGGTGAAACCCTGTCTCTACTAAAAATACAAAATTAGTCGGGCATGGAGGCACGCACCTGTAATTCCAACGACCTGGAAGGCTAGGGCACAAGAATTGCTTGAACCCGGGAAGTGGAGGTTGCAGTGAGCCGTTATTGCCCTCTAGCCTGGTCTACAAAGCAAGACTGTCTCTAACTGCCCTCTGCCACTGCCCCACTCAAAAAAACCTTAGATGTTTGTGCTGGAGAGTTTGAGGTCTTGATGAGTTTCTGAGGTCAGGTTTGGGAAAATACTGATATAAACGGGGAAGTATATTGCACTTAAGTGAAAATTTTTTAAACCTGTTTGTCCTTAAGTGTAGCAAACATACCTATTCTATCTCACTAGAAGGAGAAAGAGCTTAGTAAGCAGGAACAGTTTACAGCTATCAGAGACTGGTAACGTAGCATTGCATTTTGTATTACGCCTTCTGCTAGGAGAAGGGTTATCTACAAAGCCTAGTAAAATTGTATCTTTGAAGAAAAAAAAGGGTTGAGTTACCCAGAATGAGGAATGTCAGGCAGAAATATTTGGAATATACTTCTCAACCTGTTTTGCTTTCTTGATACATTGGCGTTCTCAGAGTTCATGAAACTGAGAATTCTCATACTGATTTTCTTGTGGACAATAACAATTATTTGTTTATTTTCTTTGCCTACTTGTATAAAACATTTAAAATGGAAATATAAACCAAATAGGCTGTATAACTCTACCTCTGGGAAAGAAGTCTTCAAGCTTTCAGTGGTAAGATTATTGTTGTTTCTAAAGTTGATGAGAAGGTGGTATAATTTGATAATAATCATCTGCAACTTTCTCACGAACAAAAACACACAAATCTGCCTTGTCTAAGAACCACATCCACTTAGCAGTAATATGATATAAAAACTGTTAATGTAGACATACCCCATATTCAAAATATGGCAGTTTTATCTTAAAACACCTCTTCTTGGCCGGACGCGGTGGCTCAAGCTTGTAATCCCAGCACTTTGGGAGGCCGAGGCGGGTGGATCACGAGGTCGAGAGATCGAGACCATCCTGGTCAACATGGTGAAACCCCGTCTCTACTAAAAAATACAAAAAATTAGCTGGGCATGGTGGCACCTGCCTGTAATCCCAGCTACTCAGGAGGCTGAGGCAGGAGAATTGCCTGAACCCGGGAGGCGGAGGTTGCGGTGAGCCGAGATCGCGCCATTGCACTCCAGCCTGGGTAACAAGAGCGAAACTCCGTCTCAAAAAAAAAAAAAAAAAAAAAAAAAACACCTCTTCTTGCAGGTACAGTTCACTTAGAGATGGTTACTTTTATGTGGAAAATAAGTATTCCATATAAAACTTTTTTTTCCCCCCAGAGTCTCACTCTGTCACCCAGGCTGGAGTGCAATGGCACAATCTTGGCTCACTGCAACCTCTGCTACCCAGGTTCGAGAGATTCTCCTGCCTGAGCCTCCCGAATAGCTGAGATTACAGGCACGTGTCACCTCGCCCGGCTAATTTTTACATTTTTAGTAGAGGTAAGGTTTCACCATGAAGGCCAGGCTGGTCTTGAACTCTTGAACTCAGATCATCCTCCTGCCTTGGCCTCCCAAAGTGCTGGGATAACAGGCGTGAACCACCATTCCTGGCCTAAAACTTTTTCTTGATTGTCCTTCAAATTCCTTTGACAAACAGAAATGAAATTTAATGAATTAGTTTTAGATAAGCTCTGTTCAGTAGAAATAAATGAACTAAATATATATGATTTTAACCTTCTAGCAGCCACATTAAGAAGTAAAACAAAGACCCAGTGTGGTGATGTGTGCCTGTATCCTAGCTGACTGGGAGGCTGAGGTAGGAGGATTGCTTGAG